TGGGAGCTAAAAAAACAAACAAATTAATTCACCCACATACACACACACACACACAAAAAAAACCGGGGGCGGGGGGGTGGAGAAGAAGATATAACAACTATACTTCTATGAAGTTGTTACAACAAGCAAACGGAAAGGATATTCTTGGCGGGGGGAGAGAGGGAAGAGGGAGGGAGGTGTCGGTGATGGGCCATAATAATCATATACAGTGTATATTGAAAAAAAAAAAATTTAACGAAAAAAAAAAAAAAAAAAAAAGAAGGAATTCCTGGGAAATAACCCCGAAAAAAAAAATACATAAATAAATACAGCTTTGCAACCCCTTTTGATTTTCATCAATGCCCAACAAGGCACCATGTGAAAGGACTAGAGATAGCAAAGGAAGAGAAATAAAATTGTTTCATATAAAAAAAAAAAAAAACTTATTTACAGGCTTTTAAGATGGCGACGGGTCTGGAGCGGCCGTGCCAGGAGACAGCGGGACCATGAGAAGTGTGCACTATGATACCAGAGTACTATTTGCATTTCCAAGAGCAACAAAAAACGAATAAATCTTTCAACAACGAACCTACAATGACAAACAAGCAACAACAGGTTCGAGGTTTTAGGGCCGACAGAAAAGAAGACTCCTGAGAGCGCCCAAGCCCTGCTGCGGGTTCGAGCGAGCAGACCGAGACAACAAAGGCCAAGTAAGTCAGCAGAGATGACACAGAAACGGAGTGGAAGGTGCCNGACCACCCCTCTCGGACTTAAGGGTCCCCAAACCCAGCCTGAAAGTCCACTGAAGGGAGATTTCCTGGTGTGTATGTGCATTTATTTGACCCTCATACATAAAGAAAGTGATAATTACCATCAAAAGCAACATTTTAAAAGTATTTCAAAATCACCCATAAAAGGAAAAGCAAGTGATTTTGAAGGATGAGATGATTTCAATTTGCTGTTGATTTCTGGGAATAGAAAACAGTGCAGTGTCTCCAGATGGCTCTGGAGCAATGTGGTGGCAGAATTCTCAAATTAGGCTTAGGTCTCAGGGGTGCCCTGAGGCTCAAGAAGTCATCACAGTAAGATCTGCACCCTTTATTATGTTTTTCATCCAGTTTAATGGCATTATTAAGCAGAGATTTTCTCATCCCTAAAATCATGAGTAGCCAATAGTTTAAAAGATTGTGAAAGGTTATCCAGTTGAAAATTTATGTTATATAGAAAAGATAATCATATGCTCAAGATCATTAGTCATTACGGAAATGCAAATCAAAGCTACAATGAATTACCACTTCACACCCATGACGATGGCCACAATAAAGCAGACAGATGGTAAGAAGTGCTAGTGGGCTTGTACAGAAACTGGAGTCCTCATATAATGCTGGTGGGAATATAAAACAATTCAGCTGCTGTGGAAAGTGGTCTGGTAGTTCCTCAATAAGCTAAACATAGGATTACCACATGACCCAGAAATTCCACTCTTGGGGATATATCCACAAGAGTTTAAAATGTATGTTCATCAACACAAAATTTGCACATCAATGTTCAAAACAGCATTATTCATAATAGCCAAACTGATGATTGAATAAACAAAATGTGGTATATTCACACAACGGAATGATATATTATGTGGCAATAAAAAGGAATGAAGTATTACTATCCATGCGACTACGTAAACGAGTCTTGACAACAACATGCTACTTGAAAGAAGCCAGTAATTATAGGGCACATATTGTAGGATTTCATTTATATGAAATATGTAGAATAGGCAAATTTATAGTGAGGCAAACAGATTAGTGGTTGCTTAGGGCTGGGCAGTGGGGTGAGATGGGAATGGGCATTGACTGCTGATGGACAAGGGGTTTCTGTTAGGGGGGGACAAAATGTTCTAACATTACACTGTGGTAATAGCTATAAAATTCTGTGAGTACACACAAAAAATTAATTTGTACACTCTAAGTGGTGAATTGCATGATATGTGAATTATATCTCAGTCAAACTGATTTAAAAAATAGTCACAATACAACCATTTATATTACTTGGTAACTGAAGAGCCATATTGAGAGAGGTCTGAGTTATGTGGAATCCTATAAGCTGAGAAAAAAAAGAAGGTCTGAGATGAAGTTAATCAAAATGGACACTTTTTGCAAAGATTTAGAATTTACAAATTATGTTACATCAATTATGAAAATTAATTTTCACAGCTAAACCATGAGGTATGATTTAATAATTGTCCCCTTTTTAAGATGGGAAATTTCAGGCTCAGAAAGTTGTCTTTCTCTATTCAGAATTCTTGTCATAGATGTGCTTTGGTTTTTAAATTCTAAATTCTGTGATTTTCTCACTACGTCAAGCGCCCTGCCCTGGATGATGATGATCCAGAAGGGGATGAGTGATGCATAGATAGAGACTGCAGATAGACACCGGGGTCTCTGATGTCTGGTTTGAAGTAAAACACAGAACATCTGTCATCCGTGAGTTGAAGTTCGTGCACTTCTCTTTGGTTCTCTGAGCAATCCCACGGACACTTCCATGGAGTGAGCACTTAACATGCATGAGTATTTAGTGGAAAAATATCATCTTAGGGATCCCTTCCTCTTCCTCTCAAGCCAAACTGGGGCTCCAATTGCTTAAACGATGTGCAATTCACATGGGTAATCCCACCACTTGTTGGGATTCCTTCAGATAGGAGTTGCGAATTAAAGAAGACCACCACACCCACCTCGTTTCAGTTTCTTTCTATGTAAAATTCCCTTCATCTGACCACAGGTCACAGGGAGCAAAGCAGCGTGGAAGTCCACACTTTCATCTCTGGGCCTTCTTGGACCTGAAAGAGAAGACTTCTTTATTCTGCCTCTTTTTGTCATTGAACCTGCCCACTCCTCCTTTATTGAGGTCCTTCCTAGGAAGACATAGGAATACTTAGGAAACTCTGCTCCACAAATATCTAGAGTTTCAAAGTCTTTCATCCAAGCGGCATTTTTGATACATAACTACAGAAGGTCTACCCCAATTTCACCCCTCAAATCTCACACAAAACAGAATGCTTTAGCAGAAAAGTTAGGCTTCAGTAAGACTGTCCTAAGTCAAAATCTAGCAAGCTCCGCTGATGACAATGAAACCCATGGCTGCTGTCACAGTTCTGACACTGCAGTTAGGTAGCCAGAGACAGGGCTGTGCTCATGTGTGTGTATTTGAGCACTGGCTGGACGAGCAGGGAGAAGGTAATGATGGAGTGACCTAATGGAGATGGTGTCTATCTTCTATTTTTGTTCTCTGCTGTGGTTCATTTCTCTCTCATGTCAGCTCTCTCCACAGCTGTGAGAGGAGCTCAGGGACCACTAGAGTAATCTACACATGATAGAGGGACGGGGAAACTGGAGACTTGATTCCACAGAGGTAGGGTTGAAAAGTTTTCAAATGAACTGCACCTGGGTAAGGTGATCCTGCCCTTGCAAGTAATGTTATAGAGGCCATGATGGGGGTGGGAGCTGTCCTTGGTCCTGAGACTAATTTAAAGAGAGATAGACTATTAGGACTGGGGTTGACTGAGAAGGATGGTTGGCCTACTTCACCCCCTTGCTCTACAGATAAGGAAACTCAAGTAAAAGAGAGAAAGCGATAGGCCAAAGCCCATATAGTCAAAGGAAGAGAAAGTCTTAGGACACAGGCCACCTTTGGTGTACAACCTGTGACTTTCTATGTAGTAAGGAGATTCAGCTAAGTAACTTACAGGTTATACCATTTATATGGAAATCCACTATTTCTAGCCTTGAAATTGATCAGTGGAGGTACCACTGTTGTCGCCCCTGGTCCATGGGGGTCTGGTTATACATGTGTGGCCAAGTTACTTATTTCTTTTCCTGACACATTTTGGAAAAATGACTAAATTGGTTACATACTTAACAGTTAGTTAGTATAGCTACATAAAGCAACTAGGGAAATGGGTTTCTTATTTAAAAAACAGAATTTGAGGTTATCTTAAAATAATTGGTCGATATTAATTAAACTCTAGAAGTAAGTGTGAAAGTTTTCCATTTACTCCTGTTTTCTCAAAATTTCAGCAGAAGCTCCAACAGCTGGGAACAATTCAGGAAGTGCCAAGTCGGGTGACCAATGGTCATGCTCAGCCCAGGACTAAGGGAGTACCTGGGACATGGGAATTTGAGTGGCAAAAATGGGAAAGTTCCGGGCAACTTGGTTGAGTTGGTCTCCCTAGTACCAGGCCCTCCATGTCTTTGGCAATGCTCCAGACCACCTGTGGGACCATAGGATGTGCTGGTGGAACCGACTATGCCAGCACTAGCCCTTTGCTCATATCCAGGTCACAGGAGAAAGGTGACATTTCTTTCAAAAGAAGCCAAGCTGTGGTGCCTGACCCCTCCCCTCCCCCTGTGGTGGAACCAATGAAAGCACCTCATGGAACAAAGCGCTAGCAGCTGTGCATCCTCCCTCCCCAATGTCATCTCACAGCTGTCCCGATCAGGCTGGACACTTCCTCCTACCTCTCCCCTCTCCTTTATCTCCCCAGTCTTGGGTGGGTCAGACCAGCAGCTGTTAAGGGGTAGAGCCAAGAGACAGTAAGAGAAGATGCCAACCGGAGACAGTAAGAGAAGACGCTGACCATACCACCCCCACTGAATGCACCCCAGGCTAAGGCTTGACAAGGGTGAAGAAGGGGAGCTTTAAATTGGGGGAAATTATGTCGGAAAGGACTCTCAGCTCCTGAAACGAGTCTTCCAGCTGTCAAAATGGAACAGAAAAGCCATAGGGCCTGCCCAAGATAAGAACGAACTCCTCTAGAGGGAGGATTTAACAGAAAAGCCATAGGGCCTGCCCAAGATAAGAACGAACTCCTCTAGAGGGAGCATTTGAAAGGGCAGTGAGAGAGTAAACTTGCTTTGCTTACAATTTAATAAACCAATGATGTAAAGGACTTTTCATGAAAAGCAGATGAAATTCAGAGGGAAAAAAATCTAGGCTCTGGCCAGATAAGATCTATGATATCAGTACAAGCAATTCGAACCCTGGCTCCAACTGGGTTTGGTTTTTAGATTTCACTGCCCTCTGCTTGGCTACTAAGCTTGACTAGTAGAAAATTATGAAGAATCTAGACTCCTTGAAATTTTAGAAAAGTTCGTATTGACTTGCAGGGCAAAGTGAAAGCGGCACAAACTTTATCTTACCCCTGATCTTGGCAGAGCCTTGCACATTCATTTCCCCCTTCTTCTCACTGGAGACCAGCTGGCCATCAGCTTTGCTGCTACCTAGGGACAGGCAGGAAGATGTAGAGTTGGGTAAAACGACAGGTGTCAGTTGGGACCGAAAGCAAGTGAGGGCATCCTGGCTTTAATTCTGAATTCCTTTCTTCATACACTCAGACGAGAAGGAAAGTTAATGACAAGGGGCCTCAGTCAAGCAGGAGTCCAGAGCATCGTTCACTTCCAGGAGGGTTGAGTTTTAAATTACATGTAGGATTTAATTGGACCTTGAAAAGAAGTGTCTTAGAATTTCCAGGAGGGTTGAGTTTTAAATTACATGTAGGATTTCACTGGACCTTGAAAAGAAGTGTCTTAAAATTTGTCTATACACACACAGAGAGACTTGAATGAAAATGTTGTAATGACTAAACTCAAATAATTTGTTTTGAAAACATCCACACTTAAAAGGGATGCAACCCCCCCTTCTTTTTTCTGAACATAAATGGACACACCCATCACCAGGGAAGCCATATAAATTGGCAAGAACATGAGATATATAGATTGGTGAAAATTAATAATTTTTAATAGGACTCTAAAATCTTACTATATAGATCTAATGATTCAAATTTGAGAATCATTTGGAAAATGAAGTTTAGCCTGTATTTTCTAAGAGAAAGGAATTCCTCAGACTATTACTAAAATAAACTAGATTTCAGGGGTCTGATTATAAATAATATATAGACCTTACAGGAAATTCAGAAAAAACATTGTACAAAATTTCACCATCTGGAGATATCCACAACTAACCTGTTCAAAAATATCCTCCCAGGCTTTTCCGTTTGCATATGTTAGTTTTTAAATAACCCTTTTTCATTAAAAAGTTGAACACGTTTAATATTTTTAATATACATACATACATTTAAAACCCACAAATAAAAATATAAACATCACCTCTATTCCTATGACCCAATAAAACCACTGCATATATATTTATGGATGAACTTCCACTGATTGTTCTATGCATCTATATCTATGTCTCTCTATACTGATAATTACATATGCACAAATAAGGATTTATAGATACGTACTTTCAGAAATATGTACATTTATATATATATATATTTTTTGCAAGTCCAGACATGCACACACATATACATACAGCTTGCTTTCTTCATTCAGTCTTCTTTGGAATATCTCTTCAAATTAATACAAATTTCTCAAGCAAGGGAAGAAAGCCACATACTGAGGAGGATGCCTCCGTGTTAACTCTGGACCGTTTACCTCTGGACTGTTACATGTATGAGAAACCAACCATTTTGTTTAAGCCATTGTATTTTATGGCCTCTTTGTTACAGCATCTCAGCCCATGTCCTAACTGATACAGTAGGTCCAAACTATTGCAGCCCTCAGGAGACCACAGGCCTCCAAGAACACGATGGGCACTGCCTTACTAAACTCAAAAGCTGTGAATCCTTCCCTTTGCCTGCTTACCTTGTTGAGGTGTGTTTTTCTGATGTTTCTTTTTTATTCTGTTCCAGGAATGCCCTCTCTTTTTTCCTTTAAACCAGAGAGAATAAAATTAATCATTCAGAACTATAAATACAATTCTCCAGCCCTTATTATGTCGGTGGTATTGAAGAACATTTTTCCATACTTTGGTGCACAGGAATGCGGCAAACTTCTTGATGACCAGTGTAGCAGTGTGGAGGTTGACTATAGAGTCACATTTTA